GTTTTGCTACAACTGGGCTGCTGCTCAGGAACTTAAGTTAAGACACTATAATGGGGGAACTATATTAAACACTATATATACCCGTTATGGTGACCTAATTTAAGTTCCTTAACAGCAGCCCAGGCAAGAGTCGTGATGTTTTCCCCCTCCGGCAAAGCTTCTGCAGCATTGAATGATGCAGGACTTCTACCAAACCCTAGGGATCCAAGTCTACAAATAATACCTACCTAGACCCTCCAACTACCCTCTATTTAGGCCTACGTACCTACTATTAGGGGCCCTATAACCCCAATTAAGGGTACTAGGAATGTCCTGGTACATTAATTTAGGGTTTAAGGTTTCAGGCCCCAAAGTCTGTAAAGAGTATCTACATTGGGCTATTTGGAGTTGTAGAAAGAAATACTGATCATCTGAGTTTATCGTCAAATTTCCCAGGTAGGCTCCGGCACTTGATTCAGAGCTTTCAGTGCTAAGCCCACGTACCACTGGAGATCTTTGCAAGGATATTACCCTCAGCCCGACACCCCATGAATAAAAAAGGAGGCTAAAACAAGTCAGTGATACTCTGAGACTCTACAGCCTGTGAGCCGGGCCCCATTCCAAACATCCCCCCCATCACAAGAATAGTAATAATAGCAAAAAAATCGTAATAATCTAGAAATACTTGTCATACTACTAATAGTACTAGTATAATAATAGTAGCAATAATGGGAAAACAACAAGATGGCTTCTAGCTTGCAAGAATGAAGTCAAGGCCTGCCATTTGTAATGATTTCAGAACCTCCAGATGAAGTCACATGGAGGGTCAGCGGGACTTAGGAAGTAGGCTAATAGATTAAGATCCCCTGTGTTCCATTTAGTAGCGCTAGGTATCACAAGTATTATTGACCTACTTACTACGCCCCTGGACCCTTCAAGCAATGGCACTAGATCAGGGCGCTGCCTTCAGTGGTCAAAGAAAGCCTGTCAGGCCCTCAGCTAGACTTGATCGAGCTAGATCCAGCGTGCCTTTTGTTGGATCCGAAAACACACAGACCTAGCACGCTTGCTTCTATTAAAACCATTCAGGTCTGTTGAAACTTCTGCAAAAACGAAGCAGGCTTACTTTGATTCTAGTTGACTCTCAGTACGCTGCCCACAGTGGATCGCCACTCCAGCTCCAAGCGGGCCTCCGCAGCAATCAGATGACAAGAATTTCGTGGTAGCTAACACGAAGAGATGTAGACTTCCCAGTTGAAAATCTGGAACCCTAGGGGAAAATCGCGGCCGTTCTCTTTATGAACTGGGCTTCGAAACGGACAGTTTCAGTTCCTACGATCACTGCAGCATAGTCAGATGCGGGTGACGGAGCGCACTAGCAGTACGCACATCAAGGTCAGTCCCGTCAAAGTCAGGGTAGACACTTTCCCTAAGGGTCCCAAGGGCTCAAATAATAGGGTTCGAGAGCCCAACTATCATTAATATGATAGTATTTGGGCCCAAAAGCCCGATTATTTGGGTCCTTGGGCCCTTAGGGTTTGTATGTCTCTGGATTGTGCTACTGCGAACCATGCCCATAGGCACGAAGCCTAGCTCTGAACATGCTCCCCAAGCCAGGCCTACTGCAGGGGCCTGCATAAGTACCAATGTTGAAATCCATTTGAGGTACCCTTTACCATAGTTATAGATGGATGCTGGCACCATAACAATAACAGTGGTCATGTAAAGCCATGATCTAAATCGACAATGCAAAAAGCACTTTAACACTAGAAGTCCAATTCCTTCAAGACCTAAACCACATTTCTACGGAGGCTCCACGTTGAAGTCCCCATCTGATGCTTAATTGCATAGGTTCGTGCACTCCTGTGCATGCACAAACCCGCGCAAAGGCGACCCAGTCCCTCCAAACCCTCAACCCTAAGCCCTAAACCCTAAAGCCGCAGACCCCACCCTGATGGAGCTGCACTTGGGGGTCCATTTTAAGTAGCCTGTAACACCATATCTGACCATAACTTATTTAAGGTTTAGGGTTTTAGGGCTTCAGATCACGATGTTTTTGGGTAACTATCCCTACAAAACCCTATAAAACCACACTTGCCTTTTTCTGGCCCATTGGCTTCTCCAATATACATATACTTACTATATATATAACCCTGTACAACCCCTACAACTCCCCATAAACCCTACACAATCCCTCTCTAAAGATATCTGTATAAGCATCTACATTAAACCCTAAACCCTATAAGCATCTACATTAGGCCATGCCTCCAACAGGTAGCCTGGGTCTTCCAAATCCGGAGGCCGTCGTAGAGACAGCTCTTCTAACACCTCGAGGGAGGGTTTAGGGTCTAGGATTTAAGATTTAGGGTTTTTAAGATTTCGGGTTTAGGATATAGGGTTCAGAATACCCAAAGGATTAACCCCTTTCCCCTGATATTCACCCCCTCCTAGTATAAGATTCGGGTTCCCCAGAATTGCAAATTCTGAAATCTGGCCCCAAGGCTACTTTTAAAATTAGGGCCAAGGCTAAAGTTAATTGCAGCTGAATAAGGGGGTGGTTCCTAGCTTCTTAAGGGTTAGGAATGGCTGATTTCCAAAATTGTCATTGTCTTTGGATGGTTTTTGGAAAGGACTTTCGATAAAATCTGAATGTGTGTTGTTGAAGCAGATGGTGTTTATTGCGATGTTGAACTGCTGTTTGGATTGAATGGCTTTTAACGAGACTCTAAGTAGATTTCGATTATATGTTCAGTTTACATACGTTGTAACTGATTTGGTTACGATTTCGAATTGATTGAAAAAGTTATATTCAGATTTAAGTAAGTGCATTTCAACTGCTTCTAATTCGCTGTAAACTGATGTTGATACGATGTGATTTAGCCGTACTGGCTTTCTATTCGTTTCAATCGACCCTAATGTCTGGGTCGTACGATAAGTACCTCCCCCCTAATATCAAATGTGGGTTGGGCATATACATTTGGGGAGAGGGGAGGCCCTTTAAGGGGAAAGGATTACATAGGATGTAGGGTTCATAGGGACTAATAGGGATTATACAAGGTCATATAGGGCTTCGTTTGTTCATGGACTTCCCGGCACAGTGTAAATATCTATAGACTTATATCCCAGGTGTTGCTCTTCAAGGAAATGCTGGTACGCAGTGTAGGGTTTAGGGTTAAGGTGTAGGGTTTAGCGTCTGGAGTAGGGGTCCGTGCCACATGGGCTGTATGTAAGAGTTCGGATACAGTTGGACTCTGAACATCTCAGCACGGGCTCATGCTGCCAAATTATCAGGGTTGCTGTTACGGAACCTAAATTAAACTACTATAATAAGGGAACACTATCATTTACTCCTAATAACTCCATTTAAGTTCCTTATATGACAGCAACCCATTTCTACGAGTTCAGTTTCGGCCAAGTGCGCGACCTCCGCCAATGCCTCTACCGGCACAAGATTCCCAGCGACCTGAGCCACGCTCTCCATCAAACTTGGTTATGGATTTTCTACAGGGTCTAGGGTTTTGGGATTTGGGTTTAGGGTTTAGGCTTCTAAAGGGTGCAGGAATGTGTTAGATTTAACGACTACGTAGTCGGGAGCGGCTTTTCATTCAAGAACTTCTTGGCTCCTGGGATAATGTAAAATTTGCCAATGTAAGCTATGGTGTGCAATGCTGCAGCCCTGCTACAAAATCTATCCGGCTCGAGGAGCCAACGCCTGGAAGCACCATAGTGACCATAGCCGTATTGCCCAATGCAGTGTCAACTCCAGCAGAAATGGTTGTTTGCAACATGCTGTTTCCGATGATGACCCTGAACCCATAACTTTCCAACATGCTGTAGAATGCACAATGACGTGAGGAACAATGCCAAAAGGACCCTGAGCTGCAACAAGTCAACAAATCAGCGGAGAACCCTTGATTTGGGCCAAGCCATTGAACACCTAATCAGTCCCTCGCGTTCCCCCTGGGCCCCCCCCAGGCATGCTGCAGGGTCAGCGCAGTTTTGAATGCGGCAAGGGTTGCCAATAGAGCATCTGTCGCGTCTCAGAGGCCGCCATAAGAAACCAAAGTCTGAGGCTGCCTTTTGGGTCGTAGCGGGGCCGAGGTATCCACTGGATCTTGTATAGATACCTCCCAAAATTTGGGATTCCTTGGAACTCAAATAAAGTTGCCAGAATGGGTATAAATTCATATATGTAGATGGTATTTAACATGGTTTTCCCACTATAGTAACTTAAATTAAGCTCCTTAACAGCAAGCCAGTTTATGGACACCTCTATGTTTTGGTGCATTCATATCGGGTACCTCGGCAGGAGCAAGCTTGCAGTGAAGGGCAGCATCTGACGCTGCGACGTGTTGAGGCTCACATAGCCATGCCACCGCGGATGGTACCTGAAGCCCCATCGCCTGAGAAGCTACCAGGATCTGTTACCTGCACACGGGTGTGTGAAGGCAGGATAGCTGGGAAAGTGGCCGCAACAAACACTGAGACATAGCTCACCTACCGACAAACACAACGATGCTTCACGAATTATGATAATTCAACGATTAATCAGACCAGCCGTGACGTCTGCATGAAATACACAAAAAGCGAGGAGGGTAGTAGAATCACTGGATCAAAGCAGGATGGTTAGGGCTGACTGTTGAATGTTACATCCGCAGATGCATACACATATGCTTAAACCTGCAAATTTCAAACACATGCAAGCATACAAGTGGCAAATTCTGCGCCAGTCCCAGGGCTTCCGGTCGCACTGGGCGGTTGCAAAGCGCTCTGTGCCGTTCCCAACGGTCCAAAACTGCAAACCAGTGAGCCATTCACGTTCCTCACTGCGCTACCCGTTGATGCCGGACTTCTACCTAGCTGCCCATAAGTCATGGTGAGATGGAACAAGCAATAGCGACCCTAAATAAGGATGTCAGCATCTTGCCCCAAGTCACAAAGTCCGCAGGCAGCAGTTCGGGCATCAACGGAAAAAGGAAACCAGGAGCGGTGCCCTCTAGGACTCTAGGGCAAAGCATCAATCAGAACACCAGATCGTCATCCTTCTTGGACGAGAGGATGCTCGGCGCCTTAGGGGCAAAGAGTTCTAAGGCAGCACTTGAAGGGTAGTCCCTGAACCTCCCCATGCCTCTAGCCTCATGCACGCCTCTTGCATTCCGTATTCTTATTCGTACTATTCGCATCTTCCTGATTATCCTCTACTGTTTTGCGCTTTAGTACTATTGGTTTTTCTTAGTATGATTGTCAAGGTTCGGCTCTTCCTCCAGGGTAGCTTGAGAGGCAGATACCTGATATCCATGAGGGCGGTGTCTACTTGGAGGGTCACGGGGACTTAATAAGTAGGTTAATAATGGGCATAACTAGGGTTATTATATGGGTCATAGGGGTTATTAACCTACTTACCAAGTCCCCCTGACCCTAAACCCTAAACCCTATACTAAGTCTCCATGACCCTCCAAGAGACCGATTCACAAATCAGCGCATTTCTGCACACCAAGCGGCATCAATCGCTGCCTGAAAAGAGCAGAACTAAGTTTGAAACTACTAGGGTGTTTAGGGTTTAGGGTTCAGGGTTGAGGGTTTGGGGTTCAGGGTTTGAGGTTTCGGGTAAGGGTAGTCTGTCAAGCAACAACTCAAGCTCGGCCTTTGACCCAGATATTCACAAAGCGTGGCTTTCAGTTCATCACGCAACTATGTTACTGACCTGTCCCGGGCTTACTAATGATAAGGACAGGTCATAACATATGTGCTATAGTCTAAACCCCTAGCATCCCCCTTAATAGCCCCTATAGTAGTCCCATATATAATCCCCTATATAAGCCCTTGAGGATTTGAGACTATAGTACATATTGTCTCCAAAGTCACAATACGCCACGACCTCTCCACTGGAAAAACAGATATAGAGCCCTGAATAGTAGGACCCTAAACCCAAAACCCTATAGAGCCCTGAATAGTAGGACCCTCTTTACACAGGAAACCCAACAGAACCCGAAACTTACGCACGGTCGGAAAACAGAATAGCGATGCCATATCTATGGAGTTAGCCAGTTGGGGGATCCCGCTAAAGTGGGGGCAGGTACATATCGGGCACTTACTTGGAGAAAAATGTTCTGCTAACCGGACAACAATATTGCAATAGAATACCCTTTTTCTTGTTGGTAGATTTGTTTTGGGAACCCAGAACCAAAAAGGTAAAAGAATACCACTACCCCTCTTAGAAACCAAAGCCCCCATCAACCCTTGCATAAACCCAGTTTCCATTTCATATCCCACTTGATTCACTATTATTGGTTTAACATACCTAGGTCCGTAAGCCCATTGCTTTAATATACAAAAGCCCATTGCTGCCAGCTGCAATCTGCTCTTTGCCCTGCTGTGCTGCCAGCTCCTTCTCCTTCGCCTGAACAATCGTTGGGTGGAGCATCACAGCATTGGATGTTGGGCAGCATCATTGGGATGCCTATGGCCCAGGGATCCAAAATAGCCCAGCTAGATATTATTCAAATTATTCATACACTTTAGGGCCCAAAGTAGGTACTATGTGTCGACCTGGATCCCTAGGGATGCAGAACTATGTAGTAATTTCATGGAGTTAATTGGGATGAGGTTGCGAATGCCAAAAACATGGATCATGCTTGCGGGCGGCTAGGAACAAGCGTATATGTGCACATTGACTGGATTCAGTACCTCATGTCCCATTTTCCCAACTGAACGCCTGTAGCAAGCTCCTACACAAGTACACCCTGCCACATACGAGTTCGGCCCTGGAAGGCTACTATCTTTACCTATATAACTATGGCGAGACTTTATAGTAATTGAGCAAAAACCGTTTTTCCAGCAAATCCCTGAGCATCAGCATTTGACTACAGCGAACTCCAGCATTCTGCAGAATCGCAAGAAAAGCTTCAACTAACAACACGTTTGGTAGTATGTTTTCCTGAGAACCAAGGAGGCCTCATCCGCCAGAATGTCAAACCACTATTGACCATTTCCATGGGCAGCACAAAGCCCCCTGTTGGCCCCGCATGATCCTTTTGTAACGCCCACATGTTTCTAGGGTCCTTGAGGGTACCAGGTTCAACCCTAAACCCTGCTCCTTTCCATCTGCGCTATAGTCTAAACTCCTAGTATCCCCCTTAATAACAGCTATAATATTCCCCTATATAATCCCCCTTATATAGTTTAGACTATAGCTCGTCTGAGTTCCCTGCCATCTTGACCTTCTTCTTTTCCACAACCTTCTTCACTCTGAAGAACTCCTCTCGCGCCTCACGGCATGCAGCAGGGATCAACTTACAACGCAAATAGGCATTCAAAGAAACGACCCTTCCGGTGGCTGAAGAACGCTCCGCCTAGTGTCAATTTGCCGATCCTATTTTTTTTTTGCGGTGATGTAGGGATGATGCAGCAAATTTCCGCATTGGCATAGGCGTCGGCATGCGTCGCACAAATACTGTGCCTCCTCGTCCATTTCCTGAGTGATGTAATGGATGAGCTCCTGCAGAACAAGCGCAGACGCCAGGAAGTTCTAATCCATCCGTCTGGCTCAAATACTGTGCGCAAGCACCAAGAAACCCGTCAGAATCCCAAGAAGCAGAACCATCCACCAGAAAAGAAAAGGAACAACATACTTGAGCAGCCAAAGTCTACATAGTCCCCATGGTAGCCCCCATACGCCATCAGTAGGAACATGAAGAGTCACTCCTAAAGGCCCCACTTGGGGAGTCAAGGGAACTTAGTACGTAGATTGATAATGGGGGTAACTGAGGTGTTGTATGGCTTCTAGGGGGTAGAAGAAAAAGTATGCCTTCTTCGTCCGCCTGCATCTCCAAAATAGAGCCCCTTGACCCCAGAGCCTGAATTCTGAACCCTAAACAACCTAAACCCCCTTAACCCTACACACCCTAAACCCGAAACAAGGGCTGTCAGTCCTCAATCCGCGGGATTAGCACGTACTCCAAAGCGTTCACCTGCAGAAGTCTGGATCTTGCCGTGGTGTAAAGGCGAAGGGTTAAGGGTTGGGGTCTAAGGTTCAGGGTTTGGCTTAGGATTTCCTAGTCTAAGATTTAAGGTTCAGGGCCTAAAACATGATTGATGATATTTTGCGGTCCATTTGAGGTACCCGGCAAATTACCTGTACAAGGATTCTAGGCGTATACTGTTGGCAATTGTTTACGCCCTTCACTTTATCTGAAATTGATAGGTGATTGTAAGTTTTTCCAAAACATTCCAAAACCATATTACTTGCCTTCACTTGTGGCCTTGGCGTGAGACTGTTGCATCCCCGTGGCTGCTTTACAAAAACTGATGAAGCTACCGCAAAACGGGATGTGCTAGACTTTTCGGGGCTGCTAGACAAGGCAGATGAACCAAAACGTTTGTGCGTTGGCCCTTCAGTACTTGTGTGGCTGGAAACTGTCATCCACTACGCACTAAACGCACCCCAGCAGATAGCCACTGAAGCAGACAGGGAATCTCTCTAGAAAGGGGACCTATGTATCGAACAAAATCTCAAATGTACTGGGCTGCTGTTAAGGAACTTAATTAAGCTACTATATTGGGGAAACCCTATTAATTACTCTATATATATATATGCATACCCATTCTGGTAACTTACTAGAAGTTCCTTAACAGCAACCCAGTATAGTCCCTCGGAGCCAAGAGACACGTCGGCTGGTCATCTTGATCTCCTCGTCCAAGGTGTGGAAAGCTGTCTGTAGGGAAGCCAGCTTCACGATGCACTCCCTCAGAGTCCCAAGCTGCCGAAGGATGTGGGAGTTTCCCAAAACAGGAGGCCCCAACAAAACACCAGGGATTTGTGGGAATTATGAGCTTCTATAGCGATGATTTTCAGAAACTCCCATGTGATTTCTGTCTCAAAGCTGAGTATTTCTGAGGGCCCGATTGATACTTAGGGAGTTCAAAAGAGGGGTACAGAGGTAACCTTAGGAGAGCATTTTGCCCAAAGTCCATCTTCTGAGCGGTCCACCGCACGGCAGAATATGGCAGGTTAGGGTGTAGGCTTGGAGCTTGCCAATTATGCATCGAGGCCCATGCAACCACAAGAAGCCTATACCTCCAAGCGGAGGCTTGCGTACACCATCCGAAAGCCTCAATCGTGCCATGGGCTTTAAAGTTGTGATCCTCCATTATGTTTCCATTGACTGCCTTTCGCAGAGGTCCATCAGAAATTCCAGAAAGCTACAAGCTAGTGGGTCCGACAACTACAACTGGATATTACAGGGCCCCTAGACCCTTGACCTCCAAAGCCATAAGCTCTACACCCTGAAGCCTGGAGCTCCCAATCCCTACACCTGCATGCCTTCCCTACCTGAAAACCCTAGCCTATAGTCTCCCTTAAGTAGATAGAATATGGGGTATATGGGGATCGTATCATTATATACCCAAAGCCGTATGCTATCTACTTGAGAGGGACTCTAGCCCTAAGCTCTAAAACCCTAAATCCTAAACCCGAAATACTCTACACCTGCATGCCTTCCCCGCCCTGTACCCTAGCCTAGGCTTGGGCCATACAAACCACAAGCCAGGCCACATTGCTTTCACGTACGTCTCGCGCGTGGCATTCAAGACGGCTCCACCAGATCCAACTCCCATGGTCTGGGCCTTCGTGGACCCTGTGATAGAGACTATAAGGGATAATAAGGAGGACTATATGAGGGTCCTCATATATTCCTTCTATACCACTATTACATGCTATCCCTGAGCGAGTAATTAGTGTTTTTGATGGTTGAACCTAGTACTCGTAAGATTAAAAATTGTTTTACAAAGTCCTATACCCAAGAGGAGGACATCATCTTACTCTATATTGGGTACCGTAGTATCCCACATAAAATACTACTCAGGTGTCCACGTTGCCAGAATGTAGGGGGAGGGTAGGATTCAGTCGCACTGATTCTTGTACATTGAACCCCGCAACATTCATGCGCTTGACCTCTTCTCGCACCAGGGTTATGATGGCAGTTCTTGTCAACTTTCTTGTCCTTGCTAGTGCTGAAGTTCATGCTGTCGTTGCATGGCTTCTTAACGGCTTGCCTTCCTGTACTTGTAGTGCAAGTTAAAACGTGTGAACGACCAAGCTGCAACGCTGCAGGCAAGTGGCTGTGCTATCCTGGGAGGCATCATAGTTCATCTTGAACACCGGAATGGAGACCTCACTGCAAAGCAAATTCGATGCCACGCAACCCTCACTGCTTCGCAATTCCCCGCATCCTTCCGCAAATGGGTGCCACATGGCAAGTGGGTGCAACACGGAGAGACTACTGTCTTGCGACAACGCTACCACAACGAAGTTCAAAGCTGATGCGGTGAGGAGCGGCCTTCAGAATGCTTAGCTTCGGACGCCGGCAACGTTGTCAGGATACAGCTTCGTCGTCAAGGTAGGCTTCTTCGCCTGCATGTGACACTCACGTCCAGGGTCTTATAACTTGGCATCTTCAATGCAACTTTTTGGTCTGAATCCCCCCGGTTCTTCTTATTGCTGAGAGGACTATATGGCTGAACCCAAGTCAAAAACCCAATGTGCGAAGAAGATCGTCGAGAGGGATGAATGCGGCGCGCGTTCACGAGACATCAGCGGGAATAGCCCGAGCAAGAGCCCTTCAGGCAAAACGACTTCAGGCAAAACGATTCAGTCCAAACCCCGGAGAAATGTTCTATTCTAAAGACCTTCAACATGACCTTTGGTCGTTTTACCCCTCCCGATGCCTCCGCAAATTCCTGCATCATAGACCTGGAACTGTAACCCCAAACCTCAAACCTCACTTCCCCTTCACGGGACCCTCTCGATGACCGTTGAGGAAATGTCGTCTCCCGAGGCCGCGTAGTGCGCCTCAAGTTAGGTGAGGTGCTTCGGGCTCACTTGCATGGCTGAAGCCAGCAGCACAGACTAGATTCTGATTCAGGTGCAAGACCTTAAACCCTAAGCCCAGGCTAGACTAAGGGGAATGTAGGATTCAGGGCTCAAAGTTCAGGATGTAGGCAGGTTGGGTTGGGGGTTCAGGTGTAGGGACAAGCAGGCGCCTTGGGGGCTCGTGCGGCATGAAGCTAATCGCTAGGCAAATTGGAGAAGTTGAGTCCTACAATTGAACATTCCAAGCAACGCTGTTGGCATGAGTCATCAGGACAAGGCCTATCACATAATCCTTCTACACCCCAATATGAGCCCAGTTTCAATTGCATGCTGCATTGCGTCTGATTCTCCATTATCGGGGAAAATGTATGTAAACCCTCAACACAAAATCTTCTCTCAGATCCACCAGTTATCCTACTTGGAGGATCAGGGGCTTAGTACTAAGGATAACTAGGGTTACTATATGGGCTCGAGGGGTTAGAAACCTACTTGCTAAGTCCCCCTGACCCTTAACCCTTAACCCTGAACCCTAAACCCGAAAACCTAAACCCTACATCCTGAACCCTAAGCCCTAAACCCTGAACCCTATACTTTTACAAGTCCCCCTGACCAAGTACCCGCTACCCCCCCAGCTTCCGCTTCTGCGCCTTGGCCAGGGCAAAGGCGCCATCCTGCAGGAGAGATTAGGGTTTAGGGGTTTTGGGTTAAGGGATTAAGGATGTTGGATTAAAATTCAGGGTTTAGATTTAGGGTTTAGGGTTTAAGATTTAGGTCGTAGGGCTTCGGGTTTAGGGTTTAGGCTTTAGGGTTTGAGATTTCGGTTTAGGTCTAAGGGCTTCGGGTTTAAGAGTTAGGGTTGAGGGATTAGGATTTAGGGTTTAGGGTTCAGGGCTTAGGGTTTAGGGCCACCTCTTTGGAGGATCAACTTTGGATTCTGCACGAAGACCGTAATGGGCTGATGGGATGGCAATCTCACATCATGGAAATAAGACAAGCATTGCTCTCAGGCTAGAGTCTCCCTTCAGTAGATAGAACATCGGGCGTATGGGGATCATGTTTTGGTTTGGGGGGATTCCATGTTCTCTATCTACTCAAGAGGGGCTACAAGTTAGAGCCGGAGGTAGGAGGTGCGGGGATTTCAGGCAGGCGGTCCCAACACCCAGGCATGTGTCCCGGGCCTGGGATCCTTCTCTCGGGCACATATCTATTTAAAAGTGTCCCTAAAACATTCCCAAGAATTCTTGGAAGAATAGAGAACAGCCCCAGTTGCAGGAATGATGTGCTTCTTGGAAGCCCCCAACCTATTCCAAATGAGCTACATGGGCCACAAGCCCATCCTACCAAAGGACGTTTTGATTAGCTTGCTTCTTGATTTGTTAATACCTATATACCACTTTAAAGGGACCTCGAGTTTCCTGTCCATTTGCGTCCCCATTTGATTCTCCATTATCCCTAAGCCCTAAACCACTACTTATCGTGGTGCATCTCCAGGTCCTTGAGGCTCTGGCCAACCTTCAGCTTGGTGTCAACAATTTCCTGCGGCAAAGGGCGGGAGCCATCAACGGGTTTAGGCCTTAGGATCCGCAACAAACAGCTGCAGAAAGTAACCCGCAGCGTGGTAGAATCTATATGGATCAGAGAGCTATTACTGCATCTGAAGCTACCGTTGCATCATGCCAACCATTTTGGGGTCCCGATCATAGGGTTATAAATTGTTAGAGTGGGTTGTATATTGGGACCCCTCTTTTGGGGAAGCCCCTACGTGTAGAGTCACAAAGTGGAAGCTACTAGCTGTGCACCACCGCCATGTCCTTCAGAAGTGCCTCAGAAGCTGCGAGTGGAGGCTGATGCATGCGGCCACTACCCAAGCTCATGAGAACAAATTGTCCTAGCTCAAGGGTTTCAGACCGCTGACACAGAAACTACACATGATGATCGCAGCGATACACACGCTGGCTCATGATGACTCAAGGCCATGGGTGGCTCTAGAACATCAAGACGTAAACCAATCATATGCCACAGTTTTTTGCACCACAGGAGCAAAGTACTAGAGGTAGGACCTGTTTCGAAATTTTGTCAGCTGACATCTCATGGGGCTCCAACTCAACATACAATACCTATAATGGGCAGCAAAGTCTATGAATGTCACAATGTAACCTACTTTGGGACATTTGGAGTGCTAGGCACTACTGCGGGCAGGACTCTGCCTATACACTCTACGATACCCTAAATACCCACTACTAGGGTCTATGTGCCCTAAACCCTAAACCCTGGTTTAAGGCTACAGGAGGCCTCCTGGAATATTGCTGCCAGGAAGCCTGGAACTTGGCCTTCAATGCGTCTCGCTTCTTCTTGAGCAGCTTGAAGCCTGCTCTCATGGGTTATGTAGGATTATATAGGGGCGATGAAATATGATTATAGGGGAATGAAAAGAGGAAGCTATCATTTAGGGTTTAAGGTTTAAAGGAGTAATACCAGGCGTAAAAGGATGGTGCGGGGCACTTGGAGGGTAAGAGAGACTTATAACCCCTAATCCATATGGCAATCCCCGTTCTTTTGGAACTGTTTAGGGCTCAGGGTCTCTCATGGACAAGTGTAGGATTATGTAGGAATTATAGGGGAATGGAAAAATGGAAACTACTACTTGGGGTTTAGAGTTTAAAGGAGTAATACCAGGAAGGGTAGCTTGAACGGGTGCAGGAGGGGTTCTGGAATGCCAATGGAATACTGGTCCCCAGGTGCTTGAAGGGATGGTTCAGGCACTTAATCAGGATGTGTAATCACCATGGCGGGACTCATTTAGGGCTCAAGGCGTAGGGAAGGGGAGGGGAGCTTATGCAACTCTGAAGTTGTTGCAGTGGGTCAGTGACGAAAGAGACGTCGTCTAAGACCTGCTTCAGGGCTTGGAACAGTACCGTGACCCAGCCCAGAGGGTCCAAGTATCCAAATAACAGGTTTTGGGCTCCCACATGCCATAATCTAAATTCTTTTTGGGCACGAGAACCCCCATGATTTTGCACTTGGACCTTGAGGGCAACCTTTGACACCATAAAAGCCCACTCGGGCTGGATCTCAAAACATTGCGTAAAGCAGGAAAAGTTTACAGTCATGAGTCCTGATCTATGCGGTTTATGGTTTGAGAAGCATCGTCCCTGGACCCCTACTGGAAATCCATCTACGCTTGCTTCGTTGAGTTGGTGTGGATACTACACATCCTGCATGACCCTAGGTACCATCAACATTGAACGTTCTGGTAGCCTAGTATAGTATACTATAGTACAGCATACTATTTTTTGTTGAAAACGAATGGCTAGCAAGTCTAGCCCGTCTGCACCGACCGACAGTATTGCTTAGTATAGTGGAATATAATGAGGTCATGCAGGATCTTAGAATCAACGGCATCATCTCCAACATGACCTCATGCAGGCCACTGCACCCTGGCCTTTCGAGGCTCCGCCCAGGCGTGCCTTGAAGGTCCTGGGCCGAGACGATGGTTACATCAAGAGACCTCAACATACCTGGACCCTCCCCAAATTGGGGTTAAAGCACATGTGATGCACGAGCGGTGCAATGTAAAGGACTGCCACCTGATACTTCAGATATTTGAGCCACAACGAACCGTTCGGTTTGGCCCAAACGCAGGCTTCGGCAGTATGCCGCAACTGTTGTTGCAAGGATGTCCTCCTCACTGACACTTGCCAAAAAGTTCAAGCTGAGCGGCTGCAGGGTCATTCGGTTGGCAGGCGGCCTCTGTCCACCAGCAGACGACATGATGACCTGTCCAGGGCAGAAAAGTGTCAGACCGTGGGGTGCCAGGAGTTCCTGGCACAATTACTTACCCATGCTTAGTTCAGCATAGGTAAATGGATTAATATAGCAGGCCCCTTATACTCCTCCTTATGACACATGCCCTCCTTCCCAAGTAGGCAAGGGTAGGATTTTGGCCATTAGGGCATATGGATCCATGCTGCAGTCGCTGGCCTTGCTTCCGACGCTGACACAGATCTAATGTGGAGCTTCTTCTCAGCCAGCTGTCGGCTTGAACCCAAACTGATTGCCATCCATGCCCAGGATCAACGACCGCAGACCCACTGCAAAGAAAGAATCTGAGACCCGTTTGCAGTAGAAAACAGGACTGATCCTCTGGGTGTAGTACTTCATGTTCTGAAGTAAAGGGGGATGCGACTTTTACTTTACTGGGGGAAGGTGTTTGAAACATTTGCCTGCGCCAGCTCAAGCCGGTGAGGTGCAAAGCGTCACAAAGCACGACCACACAGCGACACTGCGTGTGGGTGGTTGTCAAAATTATGGTCTCTTTTGGGTACCCTAGATATTAGGTGCCGCATTATAATAGGGATCCAAAAAGGGACCATCATTTTGACAAGCACCCATGTACAAACATCTGGGCAGGGTATGGTGCATCAGAATCTTGCTGTTTTGGGCGATGGAAGGTGGCTCAAGCAATTAGCTCAGCTCGGAAGATGTCACCTGCAAATATGCCCAAATGCTTGCAACAAACATGTGCTCAATCTCGACGTCACCCACCCTAGACGCAACAAAGCAACTCCATGTGCTACTTGGCCAGGTGGCATCATGTTAGCCAACATTTTCGTCATGGGAAGAATACGAAAAGTAACAATGATAATTAGTAATAAACCAATAGCAATCATATCAGCAAACCAATCAAACAAAAGGTCCAACTCCTAGCCCTGGAAGCTCTGTGGCTGGGGCGCTGCGGCCTTCAGCGCAAACCGAATACACCTGCAGAGCAGTTCCGTGCCAGGCAGGTATCATGCGACGTCGTGCACAAAGGCTTTTCCAGTGCCATCTTCAAGAAGATTCCTGGACCGTCGAAGTACTGCGGCTCATTGCAGCGGGGCTGGGGTGAAGTGTTAAGGGAAGCGATCCTGCTACGAATCTTACACGCCTCCATTCACGAGTCCGGCCACACGACAGAGTAACTTGCGCGATATCTTTGAGGCGCTCAAGCAGGCAGAACAACTGATCGCACAAATCTCATGGAAGCAAACACAAAGAAAGGACCGTTCACAGTTGCGCGCTCGCACGCCGTCAAGACCGTTCTGGGGGAGGGTTCGAGTCAAGTTCAGATCCAGCGGCTTTTACGGGAGACCCATGTTTGTCGAGTAGCTCAAGGAGCCGACTTCGTGTTTGAACTGTGAGTACCGGCTGGTCTTGAAGGTCCACAAAGTATTCCAGCTGCCAGGCATGCTTGAGAAAGGTTGCTGGCTGCTTGGGAGGAGCCCACGGTGGATACAGTCGAAGCGTCGTAGGCTTGCCACCAACCAGCCCGTGAGCGATTAAAGCAGGTACCGGGAAAATGTACAGGCCACATAGCCGGCCGTCATCCAAAATTGCGGCCAAGAGCAGATCAAAGTCGTGCACAGAGTAGGCAAGCACACCCAAAGCACCACCATGCTTGCGCAAATTTACAACATATCTCCGTGTAGACCTTCGCAGGTTTGAAGCTTTCTCCTGGACACGCGACTTGCAGCCGTTGTGCAATAGAAACGCGTCCACGGCGTCGGCTGCGAAGCATGTATCCTGGAGCTGGGCTCCCACAAGCGATAGCACTGTTTTCATCTGCAGGCGCGCCTGCATTTCAATCCTGTGGCCTTCGCAGGATGGATACATGGCCTCTGAAAACGAAGCATGTGGAAAGTCAGCGCTACAATCGTATACCTGTCTCAATGTGGTGCCGATGTCAGATACTCTCCAGGCCTCATCACGGGATGTGCCAAGCTTTAAGAAAAACGATCGCTGGGTGACAGCTTCCCCAGGCACTGCCCAAATCAAGTCATGGTCGAGGGCCACAAGGATTAAAAGCATGCCGTCGTAGCCATGTGTCTGCTTGAATATATAAGATCGCCCATGGGCTCCTGTTGGACTTGAAGACTTCAGCTGGAGACGAGTACCCCCTGTTGAACAACCCTTAGGCTGGAAGAGGGCATCCACTCTAGAAAACCCGGGGACCCAAATTATCTCGTATTCTGATGATTCTGGAGCTAAGGCGAACCGCTCCTCTAAGCGGCGGCGCGAGGCGTCCTCCTTCGCTGCCTTGTCGGAATGCAGTCTAAGAGCTCGCGCGCGGGCTTGCACGGAGGTTTCTCTAAAATCCAACTCAGAGTCTGTCGGAAAGTTTAGGGACTTCTTAAGCCTGGCCCCTTCTTGGCACAGCTCACGCAAGCGGGCGTCATAAGCTTCCGCAGCCTGAAGCTCCGATTCAAAGCACCCAGCATGGTACAGTTTGCCGTTGAATCCTACTGAGGCGTGGTACCTCTTTCGCCGCGCGTTCCAAGAAACCCCATTATATTGGCTCGATGCAAATTGACGCTGGCAGGGCCGGTGCCGGCGCAAGAAAAGCTTAAAGCTCCAAGAATGAGTGGCAAGCCTGGAATGCATCAGTCAGGCAGCAGGCAAAGCCCGTCTTCCAGTCATGGCCGCTACAGCAACAGTGCCTGTTTCCTGAAAGGTCCCCAATGCTGCACTGCGGGTCACATCTATTGGCCAGGAGAAACAGAAAATGCCTGTGATTTTCGAAAGCCGTAAAGGACTCATGTCCGTGACAGGGTTGCAAACAAGCCTGAGCAAAAGACCCACAACACCCACTCGTGCAAATAAAAGATAGAGAAGACATTGCTTGCATAGGTCGCCGAAACGACACTTACCGCATCACAACAACAGCTAGCACAGATTGCGATATAGCTAGCCACTCTCAAGAACCCAAGATGCTCCTGGTACAAGGCCTTGTCCCACGCGGAAGATTAGGTAGAGGAGAACGCCAAATAATGAACAGCACAACTTGTGTTCGAACAAGAAACATGCTGCTGCGAGTCTGGATCCTGCCTTCTGGGCCACTGCAAGTGTCAAGCCAAGCTCACGCCTCAGAATGAGCACTTTGCCAGTGGTTTGCCTCTTCGGGAGGAAGGCGGGAGAAGTAAATAGATGTAAGGATGGTAGGGATGGGAGCTAATAGGGAGGAAACACTTTCTGATCCATCCATGGTATCATCCAGGCAGGCTGCGAGGCCAGCGATGGCTACAGAACAGCCTAAACCCAGCAGGAGAATTACACGGTCGGCTGGGGAACAGGCACGGCAAAATACTCGAACTCCAAGACGGTCATGGCACCTGACCAGGCAAACTTGCATGCGGACTTGAGCTTTCACTAGTGCGTCCTTCAGTGCTTCAGGCAGCAGAGAACGAGCCTAACAAAAGGAAGCTGCACGGAGTTCATTCCATTTGTGTAGGTTGGCATATGCCATCACAGCGGCGTTGGGGGACTGTAGGCTAACACCCGCTGGTCACACCTTGGGCTCTGCTACGCATAGCCGGCCTTTGCTGCCCACTTCGGCACGTAGCTTCTCAGCCTGCCACGCGGGGAATACAACCACTGCAACAGGCTTAGGTCCATGATCTGCTGCATTGCTGCTCTTGACACATGTTTGCTGCAGTCATCTACGAAAGCTTCCTCTCTCCTGCCCAGAACCCTGTTTCCCTAAGTTCCAGGCGACTAAGCAAGCTCAGTGTGAACGCGGAGACAGAGGTGCAATGCTGCTCTCAACATCGCGTGGCTGCCCTTGTCTTACTGACAGTCTTAGCGGTTCGCCGCTGTGGCAATCGTGTCGGCCCAGCTGCATTGGCATAAACTGACCGCGCAGCAAATGCGCCTGTGCATTCGCAGATGGCTTATGTGTTTCCGCACAGGGTTGAGCGATGCAAGCACTTGCTGTGTTACATAGAGCTCGGCATGGCAAGGGTTGGGGCAGGGTCAAATGGGAAGTCGTGAGCTTGAGGTTGAAAAGCGCGCCTTGCTGAGGTCCGCTGGAAGGCCTCAGGTCCTCTTTGCCAGCCTGCCCCGGCTTCGTTTGCGATAAAGGAGCACTAGGCGACAGCAACCAGCAAGGCTTAGAACAGTTCCTTCCCAGGCTTGTGGGTTTGTGTTACCCTAAGGGTCCATGTAACCAATAGTTAGGTACTTGGGATTTGGGTAATAGTATTTATAGTACAGGTTTTGGGTAAGTATATGATTATTGGCATTATTGGGTACTTGGACCCTCAGGGTTAGTGTGCCGTCAGCTGTATACATACGTAGGCCAGTAAGTGACTCCTGTGGTGTCATGAAAAATATCACTGGGAAGCGGTTGGCTGTCAGATGTTTAAGTCTCTATGTTCTTGGCCAGAAGTTGCGTCAGAATGTTCATTGCGATGCAGTTTGTGTGAGGTCTGGGGCACTGGTCTTGATGGTCTTATTCTGACGGCATGGATGATATGGCCAACACTACCCAAAGCTCGCGCCCCTCCGCTGCTACAAACCTTTTGGCGTTTGACTGAATCAGGCGGACTCAGCTGAAGCGCGATCTCGCACGCTCTACCTGAGGTGCTGGAAAAACTTGCAGAAAACTCCCTGTACCGGCCCAGTCCTGCAAGTGCACATCCACCGGCCACGAACCATCAAAACGAGCTGCGAAGACTGCTAACAACCCCGGCGCGTTGCCTACTTTCAGAGGTGGTGGCCGGCTGATCAGGCAGCTCCTAGGGCGCGCAGCAGATGAAGCTTAGCTTCATCTGAGCGGCAATAACCTGCATGTAACGTAGTTCCCGGCAAGCAAAGGGGTCCTTCTGTGTCAAATTTCTACAAGTCCTTCATGTACACCCTAAAGTGAAGAAAACGACTAGCCTGAATCAACGCAACAACTGTTCAAATACATGTCCTTTATTCTGGCCTAAAGACCCGCTACTAGGGAACCTATAGCCCTAATATGCCCTTTTTAAAGTTACTTGGAGGGTGTAGGATACAGTCTGTCACGTCAAAGTCCCCCTTTCCTCCTGGAGGCCTGCACCTGCCAAGAGCTCTCAAAGCTTTGAAAGCACTGGTCCGGAAACCTGCTCCACCAAGCCGTCTCTGTCGATCTGGTTATAGAGGGGTTATGTTCGTTTTTGGGGTTTACATAGGGCTCTATTGGGACTATATGGGGACATTCTAGGGTTAATATATGGGGATGTTACCCCAATACGGGAAACTCAGATGGACAGGTAAATGGAAACTAGGGTCTTCTGGTGTCTGGACACATCATAAGCTCGCCCATAAATGAACCTTGGCTCTAGTTAGTACCTTCAAACACACTCATTCGCCGGCTCTTACATACTTCCATGTTTCTCTAGACTTCTCACTCCGAGGCAGATGTGAGTTCTTTATAAAAAGGTCCAACATAGACAACAAAACTCTGAAATCCTTCTTATAGAGACCCCTCGTCTGAAACCTGGCAGATAGATGATCGATGTGATTGGTGTCGATTTGTGGCTTCTTCTGGGCTTCCGGACCAGGCCTACTGAATTCTCTCGCCGACTACTATCATCAGCCGTGTTGACAGCGACGCGACACGTGCTCATTCTAACCATGCCTGTTATCATCACCATTGACGCCATGAAATCTGTAGCACGGCAAAACGCTTTTGATCGCGGACCTATGACTCCAATGGAGCTTTACGTTTTATACCTACTGATTAGATTGTAAATACTGCTAAGCTGTAGGTAGTGGGGGGTCTGGTTGTTGCTAAAGTTAGATCCCTTATATGAACTCGAAATCACCACTGCATCATCCCAGCATAGTTCCTCATATCCTTCTCGGGGATTACGTTTTCGGATGCTTGAACCCTGAACCCTAAGACCCAAACGCCTAAAGCGAGGAACTATTACTACTCAACTGTAGGCACCCAGCGTTACAAGTAAACCCTAAACCCTTGAACCCTCAAGCGTCTAGAACCTAAGCCCTTAAATCCCAGACACCTCTTTACCCTAAATCCTACAAACCTCCAAACTCTAACTCCTATGAACCTCAAAACCCTCAATCCCAGAAACCTTCTAACCCTAGCTCCTACTACCTCAAAACCCTGACTCCTATAAACCCTGGGGTTGCAGATTCTTGTCCCCCAGAATCCCCCTTAACAATGCCTACTATACTCTCCTATATAATCCCCTATACAAACCCCTTTAGACTATAGCTCACTTGATGCTATCACCACGGCAGCCACTTGGCCAAGGCATCCCTGGCATGCCCTCCAGTCTTTGCCTGGCATGGAAGGCTCAGGGTTTAGGATTGTAAGGTTTAAGGGGTTGTATTTGTAAAGTCTGAAAGGATATGTAGGGACACATTGGTATGTATACGGATATATAGGAATTTGGGCTTATAAAGAGTGGCTTAGGGGTGTATAGGGATAAGGTTTAGGGCTTGAAGGTTCAGGTTTTTAGGTCCACTCGCCATGACATGCCTCAAGAGTGCAGTCTCCAAAGATATGCAGAAGATGTATAACTGTGATTGCAGAAATGCAAGGATGTATGTCTTACATGTGCATCTGCATAAAAACTTTGCAGGGCATGCAGAAGTACCTTTGCCGAGTTTTCGAAGTGGTCCAGTGCATGGGACTCTGAAACCATGCTGCAAACTGGATGCCCCAATGTGTTCGAGGCAGCTGCTATGTTCTCACCACAACCGAGAGAACTGGATCACCAAAGCTGGATCGTCGAAGAAGGGGCGACGAGAATAGCTCACACACCCGTATAGCTCACACACTCGGCGATCTCTGCATAAAAAAGGCCATATTTGGTTCTGACATACCGGCATTTAGCTGCATTTTCTAGTCCTGGACAGATCGAAAAGCAAACATCTGAGCAAGGCTGAGAAGGTGCAGCCTGCCAATCCCAAAATCTGGGGTGTGTGGGGGCTTGTAGCGACATGAGAACATGGGATGTGCAGTAAACAAGTGATTGTTAACTCCTTAGACCCCTCACCATTCACCACGGCCACCCTTTTTTTATGGGCATGGAAGCAAAGCACGACTGCTTGCCTGTGTCGCATACAGACTGAACGGCTTGTGAAGCCCTGTGCAGCCCTCGGTTGGGAGAGTACGTAGGGTTTACGGTTTAAGTTGAGGGTTTAGGGTGATGGTTTAGGTTTGAATTTAGGGTTTAGCTGAATTCTGGCGCAGGGACCTTTGGGGCTTGTGGTTGGGGATTCTAGTCGCGAGCTGTGACAGGCTTCGCCTGTAGCAGAGTCAGAGGAAGGCTTCTCCGTAAGTGGTGGACGGATTAAGAGCTTGGGGCCAAGGAAAAACCAGGGTCAAGGCTTGCTAGGCTCACTTCGCACAGCTCTCTTGAAGCTTTCCGAGGTGTATGTGGAGCATACCAGGAAGATAGTGACCGCAACAACACAGTGAAAGCAATCGCCTCAAGCCCTATAAGAGGGTTTCCCGAATTAGGGGTCCCTTTTGGCCGCTCCTATAATGGAAGGTTCTAGTATATTGGGCTCCATATTGCGGTCCCCCTATTCTGGAAAAAATACCATCAATCGTAACAATGCTGACAGCTCCAAATCATACCGTCTTGAAGTCGGCAGACGCGCCATAGTCTAAACTCCTGATATCCCCCTTAATGAAGCCTATGGTAGTACCCTATACAATCCTCCATAGAACCCTTTTTAAAGACTTTAGGCTATGGCTCAGATGCTAAGGCAAAGGCAAAGCCCAAGTCTGGAGTGTTCTGCGCTTGGCTGGACCTGAGACCATGCTGGCTTTCTAAAATTGAGGGGCCCTCTTTCAAAGGGACTGTACAAAGCCGGGGGCTTAGGGTTTAGGCAAGACATGGCTTTGCTTAGGATATCTTTGGGGATATGGGGCAGCGGCGAATGTCTCGAGGTAAAGTGCTCGCTGTGGATCCATGTCGTGCAAATTTAGGCCGCAGCAATACTTTGAAGCCACTGTAGCAGGAAGTCTTAGTCACGTCTACTTGGGTCAGCATGGTGAGCCGTGAGGCAAATGCATCCTATGATAATCTGAAGCATGACACCTCACCTACTACTCAGGTGGCAGTTGCACACGCTGCTTTCCGAGGACACGCGGCTGTACAGCTGCTGTGCAATGGAGTTCGTGCTCCCGCGCTTCTCTTACATAATCTGCTAGACCTCAGGCCGTACCTCAACAAGGCGCAGGACTGTGGGGGAAGCTTCGCTGGCACCATAGAAGTATCAGATGTGAGCAAGCTATCTGGTCTTAAGCCTGAGGAAGGGGAGCTGGAAAGCAGGAGCTCTGACAAAGTCTCCATAGGTGCTTTGTGAAGATATGTCCGGCGGCAGAAGCACCTGCTTCCTACGGCATGCCCAAACAAAGTGCCCACCCAGAAGAATTTGCATACAGTATGTTCGTCCACAAACAACCAAAAACTTTCAGAGACGAGGGGCAACGTGTGCCAGACATGAAAAGACAGTAAACGGTAAGTCATCCCGTGGAAGGCATGTGCTACCGCCCCCTTCTACAAAACTACGCATTTGTCATCCCTTTTGGCGACAGTCTGTGCATTTTCGTCTGGGCGCAGGGCTTTGCCAGGATGGTCCACGAAGACCGCCGTACATTTAAAAGCTAGAGCACAAGTAGTAGGGCCGGCCGATGATGCCCTATGTCTAGGCCGATCAGCACTACCGCACCACCTCTGTCAGACAAAACATGTTTTCGGCTTGTAACTGACAAAATCAAACCTTCTTCAACTAGCATTCGCCTATCAGACACCCTCATCCAATGAGCTGTCTACCACAACCCTTTCCGGACACCCCGCCACCTGCAGTCATTCAATTTCTTGTCTGAGCAAACTGCGGCGCCCCATCTAGAGGACCCGCTTGTCTGCCTCAGAACGATCCCTGGACGAATCCTCTAGTTCTACTCGGATTTCCGTTTGTTGAGCATCCTGTCGACAGTCCTTCGCGTCTCTCATTTTGCAGCTCATGGCTTTGGGTTCATGTGGCATCCTCAGAAGATCAAGCAGACTGCATGGGTTCAGTAGGCAAGGCCTCTAGTTGCAGATGAGCGATAGTCTAAACTCCTAGTATCCCCCTTAGTTAGTAACCCCTATAATACTCTCATATATAACCCCCCTTTAAGGAGTTTAGGCTATGGCTCATATGCAGGGTCAGCACATGCCAGGAAAGAAGCCTGGGAGGGCAAATACAGTTCCAAGTAGTGTAGGATTTTATAGGGTTTAGGGTTGAGGGTTTAGGGTGCATGGCCCTAGAGAGGATGCACGGACCCAGGGCTTCGACGGCATTTATTCTGAGCCAACAACAACAAAAAGGAACAAGTTGAGGTTTAGGGGAATTTCGGTTTGCATAATTTGGCACAAACGTGGGAATCGGCAGGCAAAGACATAATTAGCATTGCGTTGAACTATGGCTGTTGCCGAGGCAGGGCACGTTTGGAAACGCAAGCATGACCCTTTATGCTGTGCTGTTGTGGTAACGATTCGTTGTAGCTTGTGTTTTCCTGCACTGGCCAGGTCAAAGTGCTACAAAGCTGTCTCGTCACAAGAGAGTGGGGGGCAGGATCCAGTGACAATACCCGCATCACACAGTCAGAAACACATGTCTGGAAGGTTGCCACTTCCAAAATCAGAATCAGGCAAGGTAATGGCTGCAGGGCCCGACGGCGGGGCCAGACCTGCTTTGCATGAAAACCTTGTTGAATGGGCCTCCGGCTGAAGCACTAGCTTGAGGCCTGCCCTACCCATCGAGGCCAATAGGGGGATTTTAGCTACCCCAACCACAAAATGATCAGGTCCCTATCCCAATTTTGGGTTTTGGGGTACTAAAACTCCTGCATTACAAGAAAAAGCCACCAGAAATCATGATCATGGGGTCCTAAGTTTAGGCTTCGAGGTGCTAAACCCTCCTACTACGAGCAAAACAATGAAAACTTACTTGCATTTAATCAGTAATGGATAGGGGAATATAATCACTACAACCCTAAATCCGAAACCCTAAAACCTATTCCGTTATTCGGAAGAACATGTGTTGCTGCCAAGGCATCCAAGTAGTCCTCGGCCGGCCCATTGCCTGCGCAAATGCAGAGGTCTGGGTTCAGGTTGTAGGGTTCCGGGCTTTAGGGTTTAGGGTTGGGGACTCTATAGGGTTTAGGTAGGGTTTGGGGTTTCGGGTTTAGGTCTTTGGGGCTGAGGATTCTGGAGTTTAGGGTTTGGGGCTTGGGGTTAAGGGTTTAAGGTTGAGGACTTTTCGGGTTGAGGACTCAGTAGGCTTTAGGGTTTGGGGTCTGGCAAGCTGCTTCCGAGGTGGCCAAGTTAAAGTTAACAAAAGAACCTATTGGTCCTAAAACCTGAACCCAAATTGAACTCCAAATTCTAAGCCTACACCCCCAATCCCGAAACCCTATGTCTTACATAGATAAACCCACCCGAAACCCTAAACCCTAACACCCTAAACCCCAAACCCACCCCTTAAACCCTACAAGCCCAAACATGCAATGCAGCGGCTGTGGCGTCAGCTGCAGTTCATGACGCGACTCGCCCCCTAAGGCTTTAGGATTTTGGGATTAAGGTTAGCCTTAGACCCCCAAAGACCTTTAGTTTTAGGACGCTAATGTATATATTTCATTATATGAAATCCTTAAAACTGAAGGTCTTTGGGGTCTGAGGAAGGGTTTAGGGTTGAGGGCTTGGGGTGTTGGGGGTTAAGGATTTAGGAGATTTTTGAGTTGGGGACTTTGGTTTTGGAGTTTAAAGTTTGCAGGGGTTTGGGGTCTCAGCACTTTCCCGCCCACCTCGCCCTTGGTGTAGAGTTTAGGGGTTAGGGTTGATCTAGGATGTTCTTGAACTATAATGACAACTGCAATTTGACAAAGGCAGCAGCAGATTTACAAGCTCCCCTCCCCCTAAAAACACGGAACCTCACAGAAACCGTGTTCAAAAGAAGAGCAACCGTTTTGTATTTGGCCCTTTATGATGGACTCCATGTCTGTTTGGAGAAGGGTAGGGCGCTGGATTGCTAAGAGCCCTTATGGCTTTAAAATAAAAGCTCTCGATATGGATATGCATTTTTCAAAGCCTGGGTGTAGGGTTTAGGGTTGGAATCCAAGATCTTGATGTGGATATGCACATGCCAAGGCCAGGACCCCCTGGGCATCATGTTCCCTTCGTCTTATGGCATTCTACTCCGAAGGCGGACCGAAATATGACAACTACGTCCTTCGTGTACGCTGGGCTGTTGTCAGGAGATTTCTTTTGCAGAGGGGTGGTTAAATTTTGTCAGAACATGGCTTGGTCCGACATGCTAAAGCACGCGCAAAGAGGGCTGAAAAGCTAAACCGAGCTATGAGGCGCAGCATAGTCCCCTGAAGTAGATAGAATATGCTTTGGGTATATCACAACAAGAGCCCCATATACCCCATATTCTATCCTAAAGCCTATAAGGTTTGGCGCTTCTGGGTCTTACGGAATCCAAAGCTTAGATTTTGTTTTTGCCCCTCTAGGCCTTGAACCAGGCTTTGCATATGATCTGAACAAGTCAATTTTGAGTTTAGTGTTAAGGGTTAACTAGAGAACTCATCGAGATGACCTTGCAGTCGAAACGGAAATCACTTCACCTTCCAAAGCTCTCGAAGGCTATCAGGGGAAAAAGGCGCCAGCTGACCACTGCCCAGGGCCAGCCTGCATTTCTCAACCCAGGTGCTAGATGATCAACATGGAGTAAAAATCTAGAAGTAAGCCCTCTGACATGTGAACTCCTGAAGTCCACAATCTGAAAGACTCTTCAAGAAAATGCATCCCTGAACCCGAAGCACTAAACCCTATTATAAATTATAAGCCTGAGCCATTAATTCAAGAGCTATATTGACAGCAAGTCGCGAATGACGGTGACCGGAATGGCCGTTCCGGCGCTGCGGGGAACCAAGTCTCCTTGGGCTAAAAAAATTGAAGCAAATACGTCCATGTACTTTCAGTACGTACTCAGGGTCTAAAGGAATTCCCATATCATGACTTCTGTAGCGCCCAAGTATATACTATACAGCTACATGGACTCTTTGGGTACTTACTTAGGCCATGGCCGCAGACTCTGGCAAGTGTTGTCCCAGGAACGCAAAATCAAGCGAAAAGTGCATGCATGTGAAGGGCCAGATGTATACAGAACGTCATGTGCGGAGTTTTGACTGTAGCTCATATGTGAAGTTGTCAACTCTGATGCGACATTCTGTGTCGGGATCAAGACACAGCCGAAGATCAAGGCAGCCTCTGGTAGAGAGGGTAGGACCCCTGATCGTACTTCTGCATGCGCAACGCATACAACCAGAAACTTGAAGCTAAGAGTGCGTACGTCCCAAGAAACGCGTTGTTTCTTAGGAAGAAGGCAAGGCCTCTCGCATGCTGCTTGTAAGGCTATCGAGCACAGGCATGTCTAGTTTTGACTCAGCTCAATCAGGTATTTCCTGGTCTAGCTGCCTACCATGCATGAAGAACAGTAGAAGGTCAGCAACCTTTGCCAGCAACAGACCAAGCTTCTGATGGCATTGAAGCATGCATTCAAGTCCCCTGTGTCCTGCAGGGCAGGTTCAGGCATCAACATCTTCACGATGAAATCTCTTGGAGAACTTGAGGCGTTTTATATTTCAGGGTAAGCAGGATGCGAAGTTCGGCGGGGGATACGAAGATATCGACTGCAACGCAAACTCCAGAGCGTGGGGCGAAAAATCAAATACTTGAGCTGGAGTCTCTGAAGGCAAAGGCTTCCGTGTTTAGCCCTTCCTGGGACCAAAGAACATATGTTTGTGGCAACGATTAAAACGTTGAGTCATGCCACTTTGATCTATCATCTATTACCAACGTTCCTCGGCGTGGCATACGGTCCGTGAGCCCCCTTATTAATTACGGGGTTTTGTGGTGTTCCAGGCCTGCCATAAACCCTATAAGCCCGACACGAAAGACCTTCAACCCTGAAACCCAAACGCAAAGCCTTGAAACAGGAGCCCTGAAAGAACGTAGGCACTGCTCGGCTATCCACATGACGTATCTCCGAAACTCGTCCCCGAAACTGGTCCCCAGCACTTATAAGTGCACTTATACATGTAAGAGTCCAAGTAACCGATTATCATATACCTGCCCAAATCCTACCCTGCTACATTTGCTATTACCCAAATCCGAAGTACTTAATTATTGCAAGGATCCCCTAAAACCCTGAAGCTTAATTACATCCATAAGACCCTACATCCCCGAACCATCCGGAAAAATCCTAAATCCTTACAGGGCTTAAGGTTTTGGGTACCCTAAAAACCATACATCCCCAAAATCCTAGGACACTGGATCCGTGGCAACCCTAACGCTAAACCCTGAGCCTAAACCCCTGCAAGTGCCTGAAGGTTGACCTGGCCGAAGCGACAAATCAAATCCCCGACTTGTAGGCCCGCAGCCTTCCATGGACTTGAAGTTTAGGGCTTAGGGCCTGGGGCTTAGAATTTAGGATTTGGGGTTCAGGGTTTAGGATTTGGGGTTCAGGGTTTAGGGATTGGGGCTTTAGGTTACTGGTGCTCCAACCGCCCAAAGAAGGATTGCATGGGGTAAATGAGGAATGGATGTGTACATGTATACATTATAGGGACATAGGAACTTCAGATTAGTTTAGGGGAACTAGGGCTTAAGGAAGAGTTGTGGAGGGAGTAGAATGAACCAAATATGGGTCATGATGATGGGGATCTACTCCGCGACGCTCCCTGGATGGTATGTTTTCTTGAGGGATTATTGGTATTCTGGGCCCCGTTACAAATCGTGTAGAGAGCGTTGTGAAAAAGTGTTTTTCTGTTGTTGAACTAGATGAGACTCTTTGATGATCAAGTAAACACCTAACCAGGCGGATGATCGATCTTTGCTCGATATTTGGGACTGTACTGTGAAATGCTGCTCAGATATGCTTGATGGAGTTCAGGATTCAGGACTCTAGGTTTGGGCCTACAAAGTTCTGGACTTTCGGATCTTCGGCCGAGTTCTTTTGACATTGCCAAAGCAGCGTGGATGAGGAGGATGTCCTAGCCCTGAAGAACAAGACGCCCGGAAGACGATGATCCACATCCCGCATTGCTACTTGAGCCCCGGCTTCGAAACCTGCTGGTGCACTGTTCTAGCTTTCGACTTCCTGGTCTGAAGCAGTTGCAAAAAAAATCGTCGTCAGCGGCTTAACGTTAAGAAGTGAGATTATTCATGATTGGGCATAACGAGCGAGAATAATAGGAATTATAAAGAGTATATAGCTATATACATCTCTATCCTGATCACCTGCCCGCCTGAGCAGGGGATCCTTCGCTGACCTCGTCGATCTCGGCCTGGGCAAATGAAGATGCAAATTGAGCTACAGTCAATATTGCAGATTATATGGGGTGATGTATAGGGGTTATATAAGGTTATAAAGCTATAGTCAGTATTTCCAAAATAAGTAATGGACATGGGTTCCTTGTTGGGGACTAGATTAGGGAGGATACCAAACTACAAAAGGGACCCCAATGTCCATCCTTATGGTCCATGGGCTCTGTTCTCTGGGGTTTATACCTAGACCCTCCATCTACCCTAAATACCCACCACTGGGGAACATTTAGGCATAGACCCCTATTTAAGCGAACAAAGAATGGCCTGGTACTAGACTCATAGAAGAAATATCAAAGTTGGGCAGCTAAGAACTGCAATGCAGGACGGTTGCTCTAAGAAGCCTCACATAAAAGGGTAACGAAGCCGAGACAAGCCCGCAAGAGAGTTTATCCAGTGGCCCTTTCAGACCCTTCGCCTGACGACCTTAAGATCCTAGCTGTTGCATGATGTATTCAGCTTACCTACAGGGAAGTACAACCAAATGCATCAAGGAATTGCTACAAAGGACCAGGATAGGTCGCGCATTCTTAAAGAATGTCCTAGGGGTTTAGGGTTGCCAAACCATACACCGACCCTCTCGGGCAACCCTTGCTCTCCCACTTCCAGGTGGGGCTTTCCCTGAAGTAGGGGTCCCTTTTTGGGGGGCAGCTTCCTGATAATGACTACAATAGACGCGGTTCCATATATTGGGGTCCTCCTCCCTAAGCCCTATAAGCCCTAAGCCCTAAACCCTAAACCCTTTAAACCCTATCTAGGGAACCTACCATGTTTCCCAACCTCAACCCTCTGAGCCGGTTACGAAAGGAGCAGCCATCTTGACCTGAAGGACCACATTCCTGTGAGCACGCTCAAGGTTTCTGGGGCTTAAAGGCTTGGGTTTAGGATTTAGGGTTCTGGGTCTAGGCCTCGGTTTCAGGCTTAAGGCCTAAGGTGTGAGCACGCTCTGGGTTAAGTATTTAAGCCCTGCCTGCGTAGCCAAACAACCAGACATGAGATGGCTGTTCTCAAAACAAACAACTCCTACATAGGGACCCTCATCGACGGAAAATGGTTGAGAAGGAACAACTATATTGTGACTGGCTGTTTGGGTTAATAGGTAGTTATAGGGATCTGGGTCTGGGGGTTGGGCGACATGGGTGTTCAGCAAAATTGCAAATCCTTTTTGGAGATGGCTGGTCCAACACGGCTAGTAGGTTTCGTGATGCTTCTGTTTAGCAGGTGGTTGTTGAAGCAGCCCCTAAACCAAAAATCAGCGTGGGCTTTCTCAACAGATAATCACTCGAGACAGGTGCCAAGACTTCTCGACTCTAAGCACCCAGCAATGTAAAGATGCAAACTATTTCCCTGGGGGTCTGATACATCCTTTGGGGGGGGCTATCTGGTTTTTTCTGGGCTTGCCATGACTCGCATAAGGCCGCATCTAAACCGCGGAAAATTGCAAGCGGCAACTATCAACAATCCAGGCAATCGCCGTAGCCAGCACTCTGAGTCTGAACCATTAAGGGATACATGGTTCCCATTACCCTAGGACCCTGGGAAGAGGAAGCCACGTTTCTAGTTGTTTAAGGAAACCACTAGCAAGGATCTCGTAAGTGGCCAGGCCGGCTCTAGGGACTCAAAAGCCTAAACTCAAGTTACACAGGCAACCCTGGAATCTACCCCTGGGCTTTCTCCCTGAACCTTTGACTGCGGACTTGAAACCCCGAAACCTCTTCTACGCGACCCTGCCCCAAGCTTTATAATCCCTGAAGCTTGCATTTCAAGTTCTAAATCCTGAACTATACCTCTACCCAAAAGCTTGAAGCCCTGATCCTCTTAAACTTCAAATTTGAAACGCTAAACTGCTGAACCATGCGAACGACAAGCGTCTGGCTCTCCGGCATAGGCTCGTCTTCTGGGACTTCTGTTGCCGTCGCAGGCGCTGCTCGCGGGACGTGCACCTGACATACCGAATGGTTTCGGAATGTTTCGGAGTTCGAGGGTTCATAAAGCCTACCGTGTGGGGCGTTGGAACGGTGAGTCGCAGAATTTGGGGGCTTCACAGGGTGTAGGAATGTAGGGCAAGTGTAGGACTCATGTTGCACACATCACGCCGGCTATTGACCTGATTAGAGTTATCGATCTCAGCTCATCCCCAGCATGATTCTGACACTGCACTCGTCAGTTGAAAGGCCCAGATGGCAAGCCTGACGTTGACTACAAAAAAGGGGCTGCATCAATTCATGAAACATGGGGTCACATTGAGATGTGGAAGAAGTTGGGGAATCCGAACCCCCAAACCCTAACCCTAAACCTCAAGCCCCAACCCACAATAGCAAGGAAACTTGGAGGTCCCGCCTTCGTGCCGGCGTGGAGGGCGGTAATGGCCTGGAATCAGTGGAGTCGTGCGGACTGCACATCTCAGAACTGGGACCCCTTAGACCACACACTTTGTCACCACGTGAGTTCCTACACATCTGAGCTTCCAGAATCCGGAAAATGCATGAAAGGCACCTGCTCAATCTTCTTCATGACCTCCATATGGTCAGTCTGTGCACAAACATACCTCAGACCAGGTGGGCAGGTGTCACCGCCTGGACACAAATCCTCAACAGAAAGGCTGTCAAGGGAACCCAAAAAGCAAAACAAGCTGCCTGTGTCCTCGAATGCCTCACTAAGTCCTGCAATGCCTGGGACCGTAGTTATCGTTCTCAAGAATTTTTCTTGCCAACCCCTAAACCCTAAACCCTAAACCCTAAAACCCTAAACCCTAAAACCCTAAACCCTAAACCCTAAACGATCAAGGAAGCCTAGGCGTTCATGCTGCTTCTCTCTGCCACGCAGCTTGTTTCGAGCCTGCCGAACAGCGTAGAGGTCAATGTCTCCCCTAGGAAAACCTTCGTCGTCCACAAGCGGTCCCGATACTCCCGGCATACCTGAGGTCATTGGGCCACGAGTTGATATTCTGCGTCTTAACACACCACGAGATGCCCGTCCTAGCTGTACGACACGCATAGCCCCAAGGAAGCATAGCACATGCAAAGGAACTTGTTGTTGAAACCTGCCCTCAACATGTGAGCCATTGTCTCAACTCCCTTCATGCCCTTAATGACCATGCTAAAGAGTTTTGGCTATAGCTCGTATGCGAGCCGACGGGCTGCAGCAGAAGGACTGGCACGCCCCCAGTATGAAAGAAATGGCTGGTCCGCATTACTCTTGAATAGTGTGCCGCTGATCTATGGATTGATATTTTTTGGATGACTATCGAAATGCCGCGGTGCCATCTTCTGTGAGGTACTCATACAGAGTCTTGATCTCTGCTTCCAGCCGGTTCTTCTCCTGTCGTCGTAGCTAGTCCCTGATAGGATCCGAATCTATAGTAAATAGTACTACGATTTGGGGTGTAATGTCTATAGATCACAATTCATTACTTTGGGCCATTTGGAGCACCAAGGACTGTACTGTTTACAGCAAATCTTGCGTCCAGCATGCCTGGCATGACTGGTAACCCGCTAACATCATGAAGTCACCTACTACCCCCCTGCATCATAGGACCACCCGCTTAACTAGCAGCCCTGGCTCTCCTTACGCAACCCTAAGTTGGGGGGAACCTTGGGGGACGAGGAGGTATACAGGGGGTAGTAGCAAAAGTTAACCACCAACCCAAAGCCCTCAGAGCGATCAATCCGGTTGTCTTCTCCTGGTCCAGCTTGCGGAACTCTTCCATCACAGCGGGATCCATGGCGGCGTACAACTTGAAAAGATTCTCAAAACTTCTTCGGCTGCTTTTGCAAACAGCTGCCTGAACTATGCTGGTGGCTGCTGGTGTTAGAGTGCATGAGAACAGGGCGTGTCTGAATTGACGCTTTCACTGCAATTCTGTCTGTGAGCAAACGGTTCTTTGTAGTGACTGCCGATGGAGCACCTAGTGAACCATGTGAATAGTAGCTGCTTTCGTCGAATTGCTTGAGCCAGGTGTGTACAGTCCCCGTCAAGTAGATAGAATATGGAAAAATATGGGGATTTTGTGATAAACTACCCAGAGCCATATTCTATCTACTTAAGGGGGACTATAAGTCAACTTCTTCTGGCCAGAGCTGGATGCGCGCAAACGTGCATGCGCATTCTGGTCGAGGTCGCATGGGATCATTTACAAACAGTCCTGCTCTCAACATTAGCTTGCACATGGCTTCACGGGTCTATTGGAGGGGGCACAGCCTCTTAAAATTGAGTATAAACCCTAAATAGTAGTTTCCATTTTCTTTTCGGCCCTGTAGAACCCCTATATAGCCCTATCATTATGCGGGGGTCGGAGCAAAAGTCTCAGGCCACAAACCCTGTTGGTTCACTTGCTTTGTGTTTGCAGGCTTTTGGGGGCGAGTCTCGGAGGAAGGGTGGCAAGGGGCACAAACTTCTGACCATGAAAACACCCACAACTCTACTTCTGAGATCTGGCTCTCAAACGCGGTCTAAGGTTTAAGGAAGAGTTAAAAGGTTTTGGGTTTTTGGGTTAAAGTCTAAGGCCTCAGGGCTCAGGGTCAAGCATCTAGGGTTTAGGGTTTGGGGGTCATGTATGCGCAGATAGAAGTCCCTCAGTACAGGTACCTAGGTCAGAATTAGGCTATTAACATATTTGAAAATCATAGTTGTATCTAGCTAGTAAGCACACTGAACCTCTAAGTGTCGTTTGCTTGCCACGCACAGCTCGACAAGTTGTCCATGCTGACAACATCTCCTGCTACAGCGCCTAAAAACAACTGAATAGGCATACGGTAAAACCCTAAGGCCCTAATGTAACACCCATGACGAGAGTCACGACAAACTCATAAATAGTAGGTGGGTCATCACCTTTGACTTTGTCATCAGAATCACTTGAATGCTTTCCTGCCCTAAGCCCGCTCATAGCCCAAATAACTTCCTACATGTGCTTTCCAAACTCTACAATGAACCTGCAAGGGCAATACAGCTAGGCGAAAGGGTACTAAGACTTGAACGTGCTGTTTGCCCTCATGTCCACACAGGTTGTCCAAATACTTTTTGGGATTGCCACAAAACTCTGGGGATATCTAAACAGAGACCTTAATTTCAGCAATGCTCCAAATGAGGCAAGTGAATCCAATCAGCGAAGGCAGTTCGCAGTTTTTCCCCTACGTTCCAGTCTTCCGACTGCGAAGCTCGGCATGCGCGCAGCCCACAGGCTCACAGCCTGCTGTACAAACTCCACGCATGTCAAACCACAAGAACTCGCCATCAATGAGGTCCATCAGCGACCGCTCACTGCTGGCAGCTGTCCTGTGCTACTGCTGCTTGATTTGCCATGCTGCCAGGGCTGCACAGAGCTTGAAACAAGATGCAGCTGCAAACAGGTTCAGGCGAGCTTTTGGTGAGCCTGGATGACTGCGCGAAATCAGGATAGCAGGCGGCCCAAAGTGGTACATCTTAAAGCTCCGTGTCAGTGGCCTCAGCCTCAGTCCACGTGGGACCATTCCAGGGCAGGCACAGAAGTGCTTGCAGAATCTTGGGCTTTGGGCTTCTTGGCCGGATTTAGCAAACTGTCGGGCATCTCTTCTCCATGTCGGCCAGGGCTGGCATCTGCATCCTTGCGCCTCCGTTTTGGATAAGTCTGCAAGTCTTCAGAAGTCAGCCATATACTCAGACCGGAGCCTGGACGAAAGTAGCAGACATGCATCTGGTTTGTTGGCATATAGGCATCTGGATGCCGTGTCCACACCACCAGGACAAGTCTGCAGCCAGATGTTACTGGAGTTACAGCGTGGATGCTTTCCTGGCAGCTGCAAAACGCGACACCTTGCTTGAACGTCAGCAGCAAAAACACACTGCCTACAGTACGTAGGGATTTATGGAAATAGCTGTCTCAGTGTCCGTAGGGATGTACGGAGACAGAGCGGGATTGCGGGGCCATTGTGTGGAGCTTATTCAGCATGATAACGGTGCTGTTTCCACCAACTCCCACATCCATGTGGTTTCACGAGTAGCTTGGCAGTCAAGTGGCCCAGGACTATGGAAACAGTTGGTGCAACTACGAGCTACGAAAGCGGCAGTAGATTCTGCAAACCTGTCTGAGAAGTGCATGGGCTCCAGAATACAATCGTCATTCAAATAGGCAAGCATGTACTTCCCTTTCAGCAGCTTATTAGTAGACAAAAGTCTGCCAGCACAACATCACGACCCAGCCCTGACTTCGACCTGAAGCCAGGTGTTTTGACGAAATCGAATGAGCCGTGGCGTTTTCCATAACTGAGGGGCCCAAAATACAGACCTCAATCTATCATAGTCCTTTTGCAGGACTTATAGATTATAGAACCTCTTACCTAAAATGCACCAATTGCACCCCTCGAGCAAGTACCTATACTACTAGAAACCACACAGAAATGTTTACATATCGGTCTAGTGGCCGCTTCCCGCCCTTGATCTCACTGATGCAATCGGCGTTTTTGCACCTCACTTTCTCAACTACCACTTGAGCAAGTAGAGGGCAAGGGTGCAGTTCGAAGTGACGTTCCCATAGTCTTTAGCTACGCAAATTTGAATATGTTTGGGTATGTAAATAACAGGAAAATCCCACCATGCTTTTGGACCCTCTCTATAATTCTTATAGCAATGAACCGTGGACTCCAAACAGTAAAACCCTAAACGATACAGCCATGTTCTCCTCCTCATAACCTGGGCTGACGTTAAGAAACTTGAGTTACTCACTACGTAACCATAAGATGGTAATTTATATTAAGGTCCTGAACAGCAACCCGGTAACATGTAGGACCCAGATACGTGAAGCTTTCAATGCGGAATAACGGTTGCCGCGCTACTTGGTTCTCAAAGGCCCCACAAGAGTTTTAGGGCTTCGGCCACCTCATATGCCCTACAACCCAACCCCCCCAAAACCCTATGTGAGCTATAGTCTAAACTCCTAGTATCCCCCTTATCAAACCCTATAACAGTCCCCTATATAATCCCCTATATAACCCTCTTTAGGGAGTTTAGGCCTTAAACCCTGAACCCTAAACCCCTAAACGCGAGGTACTATACCCTAAACACTAAATCCTAAACCCTAAACCCTATGTAACCAGACAATAGCCTAAAGCTCATACCATAAACGGCATCCCAGGCGGCCCCAGACGTCGAAGAACTCCAGCGCACCGCCGTTGTAGTCCTCGGGCTCCGTCAAGGCCACCGAGGCGCTGTAGTTCCTTCAGCTTTGTGGTGTGGGACCTAGATGGTACATGTAAGTAGAGAGAGATATACATACATAGACGCATATATATACACACATATATATATATATATGCTTATGTATATATATGCATATACACCTGTATGTATACATGTACGTGTATACTCAGTACCTGTATTATGGTATGCACACGCTTGGAGCATCTGCTTAGTATTGAGGCTGTGGGATCTTGGCTCTGGGACTTATGTATTGCTTCTGGCGGAGATTGTTTCTGGTTTAGGGGCTTGAGGTTTTTAAGCCCTATAAGCTCAAGCCCAAGCTTGCAACCCTGAAGGGCGTCCTGTATCCGGTCTTCGCTGCTTTCCACAGTACCGCGGCACCCCCTTGCACAGCCTCAACCTGCAGTGGGCAGTTCATACAGGGCTAACTTACAATATGCCAGCAGGTGTGGGTCTCCGTTGTGGTTCCAAGGTGCTTGAAGATTTTGCGTCTAGGGGAACTAGCATGCATACGAAAGCATGATGCAAAAAGTGGGATTGCAACTTATGTCTGCGCAACTTGCTTGCTCAGACGAATCTGGATCTCGCATGTCAAACGGCATTGACCCCTTGCTTCGAAAATGCCCTTCCAAAAAAACATGGTTGGGAGACGGCAAAAAACCCTACATGAAGGCTGTAAGTTAATCGAAAATGGTCGCGTCCGCTAATTAGGTCTGAAAAGCACGTCGTTATCACCATCAAGACGCAACCCAAAAGACCACCCAACTTTTGGATCTTCTATGTAGGGGACCCCTAGTGTTGATTGATGCGGGAAAGCCTGCACCCTAAGTCTCATAATCTCCATAAAGTACCATTTTGGGGGGGACTTTAGGTGATGAAAGACTTCCTCAATCAACAGTACCATTAAGCCCTTGTCCTGCGGAGTCTTAAGCCGAAGCTTAACTCCCCTAAACCCTAGAACCCCTAACTTCTTTCAGCTCATACGCCTCATCCCGCTGCTTCAGCTGCTGCCCCTGCCACCAAACCTCAGAAGCACAAATTGCGTTAAACAGGGTTTAGGGCTTATAGGGGTATGATTTATGATATTAGTTTATGTTAAATCATGCGACGTTGTGCGCCAAACCTTGGGTGCCAGAGAACATCGGATTTGTCCTAGCAGTAGGGGTTAATGAACAAACAAAGGGAACTGGTATGACACGGTAATTATTGATGCTCCAGGGCTTACACACCTCTAGTTACAAATGCGACCCCTCATATATATATATGTGTGTGTGTATGTATATATACATATGTGTATGTTTAGATATTGGTACTATACTGGGAATGCTGATTGTTGATGGGCGGGGGGTATCGGTAGATGCAACGGATTATTGCTGCTATTGCTCGATGCTTTCTTTGGAAAATGGGGAGGGGCGAATTCGAGGGTTTGAAACATAGCGGTAGAACAACGGGCAAGGTGTTTGCTAAGGGGCCCGCGCATTGACTACTTGAGCTTGGGCTGTCTTGGTAGGTTCTTGGTGAAGCTGCAGGACTTGC